CGGCCCATCCACCCCAACGAATCAGAATTAGATAAGCGGAAGAAAAATAGATGGATGTAAATTATTTAGAGGCTTAAAAAACATCTGACACACTCTTTTCTTGTGTATGCAGTATCTGCGTCATTTCAACTTTAACATGCACAAAAATACAGAGACCCAGCTCTCCCAGTTACAGCTGTTAAATCTGTTATTGGGCACTTGCTGTGGTTTAGTAGTCAGTTAGGTATCAGAAACAAGAAGCTAGTTTAATATCAGGGAATAAAAATTCTGCTAGTCTCTTTGTGAAGCTTTAAGATCTCCAAATGTGTTTCATCTCACCAACACTGAGACACAATTAACAGGTTGGGAGTGCTTTTTAAAGACCATCTAATTAGCTGCCACATATTATATTTGTCATGAGCTCAACTAATCATTTTGATGGTTGAACAATGTCTTCAGTCATAGCAAATAAAGGCTGGCAATTACTAATGACTTACTCCAAGCTCTATTTATTCTGTGTCCCTTAATCAAATAGTACCTCCTATCAAGACTATAAAAGGCACATCTTACTTTGCCTCAAAACTTTGTGTTATTAGAGTAGTTAGTACGTTTTCATGCATGGTTGAATTGTGGTAAAACCAGTGTTAATTTACGTCATAGTTTTCGTCAACAACCTTTTTTCTTTGCTTAAAACAAGACAATATCAAACAACAAACTAATGCACAAGGACAAAAACTATGATTACATGAGCCAACACTTTCGTCAACAAAAGAACATAATATGAAAATATTCAGGACAGACGAGATCCAATCAGAACTAATTAAGTTGTGTAGAAAGGCAAATTTGGAAGTGAGCGAATTAGAAGTAATTACCGTGTGTAGTTTGGGTAAATGTGCACATTTGATCTGGCCCTGGAAAATGGTAGCTAGCACACATTAGTAACACTACACGTCTTTTGAACTTCAGAGGTTCAATGCCTGACCAGGGCGTCTGTATCCAGTAAGCCTCCCTAGACTGTCACCACTCGCTTGAACGGGAATACCAGAGAGATGGAAATCAGGAGAATAAACCAAGGAAACAGTGCGACACTGACCCACCTCCAGTCTTGTTATGGCTATGTAAGAATAGCCCCACGAAGACTGAAGACAGAGCAATACTGGAAGAGCATATGGGAGAAGAACGCAACCCACAGCACAACCACAGCAATCTCCCTGAATAGGATCCAGTAATCATCACAGCGGCAGACATCAAAGAAAGGGTCTCCAGTATGAAGTATTGGACAACACCAGGCCCCAACATAATTCAAGCTCACTGGCTGAAAAAGCTGAGTTCACTCCATGAACGTCTGGTAGCACAAATGAACCAACTGCTAATCGACAAGAGATACCCAATATGACTAAATGAAGGCCAGGGAGTCCTGATCCCCAAGGATCCCCAGAAAGAACCGTGCCCATCCAATCAATAACCTGCCTCAGTACCACATGATGTCAGGCATCATAGCGACTAATATGAACAAGGACATTGCTCAACACATGAGCAGGGCACAGAAAGGAATTGGCAGAGACCAAGAAATACCAGAGACCGAGACTGAAAGACCAGCTGAAAGACCAGCTCCAGATCCTGGAATATCTAGAACTACACAAGATCAACAGGACCCGTAGCACCTTCAACAGGAACTTAATGGGGATGTGGCGAATAATACTATCCAACTGGACATGTCACCATCAAGTGCAGGGTTTACCAAGGAGATGGCCTTTCCCTATAGTTGTTCTGGATAGGCCTGATCCCCCTCATTAGGATCATTAACAAGACTGGCTACAGAGCCAGACTAAGGAATAAAGCAATTGTTAGCTGCCTCCTCTACATGGATGACATCAAGCTGTATGCCAAGAGTGAAGAAGACATTGATTCACTGCAACGACATTGGAATGTCAATCGGACTGGAGAAGTGTAGTTCGATGGTAACAAAGAGAGGGAAGATAGTCAGAACTGTGAGGATTGCACTACCCACAGGGAAATGGGAACCACGAAGAGGTCGCTAAAAAGCGGCAAACACCAAATACCTGCAGAGGGTAAGGCAAGTCCTGGGGAGTCAGCTGAATGGAAAAAACAATACCTGGGCAATCAGCACCTACGCCCTGCCCATGATCAAGAACCCTTCTGGCCAAAGGAGAACATAGAAGCCACTGACATCGAAACAAGGAAGCTCCTGACTATGCATGGTTTTCACCCAAAATCCTGCACCCTGAGACTGCATGCTAAGTGAAAGGAAGAAGGACCAAGGACAGTTGTCAGAACCACTGTCCAGAATGAGACAACAAACATCCATGAGTAAATCAGAAAGATGTCCACAACCGACTGCGTGCTTAGTGAATACCTCAGGTAAACGAAACCCAAGAAAGGAGAGGAGGAGCCATGGAAGGACAGGCCCATGCACGGTATGTACCACTGGCAGATAGAGGAAGTAGCTAACATTCAGAAATCCTACTAGTGGCTGGACAAAGCTGGTCTGAAAGACTGCACAGAGGAACTGATCATGGCAGCACAGGAACAAGATCTAAGTACAAGATCCCTGGAGGCTGGGGTCTATCCTGCCAGGCAAGACACCAGGTGCAGGCTCAATTAGCTATACCAAATGATAACAACATCAGGAAAAAGGAACAAAGGAACAGACGTATCAAGGGCTAAGAGAAGAACTCAAGAAGATGTGGAGTGTGAAAGTAACAGTGGTCCCAGGGGTAATCAGAGCACTCGGTGCAGTGACCCACAAGCTAGGTGAGTGGTTCCAGCAGATCCCAGAAACAAAATCCAAGAGAAGAATTTCTAATGAATTTTTATTTAAAACAATTCAGTGGACTACATATTGAACTTAGAGGACAGATACAAAATATCAATCCTATCGTGTTGTATTGATCCGGTTGGTACCTAATGGATTAGTATCGATAGTACCAATGCTTGCCCACCTCTAGTAGTAGGTGCTCCCACCAAACAGTACAGCTTCCCCCCCCCGTATGCTCCCTGTTTCTCATGATAACGGGGAAAAATTTCAATGCATGGGAGGAAAAGACGAGTAGACATATGGGCACATTGATTTAATGACTAAATTTATCGTTCATCAATATTGACATATTCATCCCGCAACAGATGGGCCACACTATTCATATAGTCAGGGATTGGATTCTATTTTTTAAAAAATAGCCACCTCTAGTTAGTAGAGTCATTGAACTCATTGAACTGAATTCTAATACCACTGGCCTTGATTTTAGACTTACACGTGTATGGGAAATGAGGCAGATGGCAGAAGATTGAAGGGACACAATTGTACTGGTTTTATAGACTTCAGGGTGACCCTGTAAGTTGAGAGTTATAACTGCAGATTGTGCATAAAAGCCTGCATGTCAGCAAGCATCTATGTAGCCTCAGTAACCTTGAGCATTATGGTTACTATTTGCATTTCAAAAAATAGCTGACAGCAAGGTTGTTTTTAAAGTGGGTAATAAGCATAACTACTTTTTTTAAGTACTAACTTTTGCTGTTCTTGACAGTGGACAAAAAAATACAACTAAAATACAGTAAATATCAACATCACATTTGCTGTGAAATGTCTGTGTAGGTTCTCAGTCATCCATGTCATGGTATTCTAAGGAGCTTGGAAAGAAAGTGACTGGATTCTTTAAGTTTCTTGAAGATGTTTAATCTCTTATCCCAGAAGCTTCTTGAGTTCTGAAACGAAATGGTGGACAGTCCCACGTATTTAAATCTAGTGGCAGTGTGCCTTAATAAACAGAGTCAACTCCTTTTTTGACACATTGGCTCGTGTGATGAGGCGCATGAGTCATGTGGCCAATAAATTGCTAAATAGTGGCATTTTGGGGAGAGTGTTGGAACTATGCATGAAAATTTCTTTGATGCATTTTTGCTGTTTTTAGTACACCTCTGGAGTCCACCGCAACTGCTGCAAATCCAGCATGAATGCAACTCCCACTAACTGACAATGAGTCTAGGCCTACACGAAGTGCCTGTTTGATATACACAAAATAGATTTTTCACTGTTGTAAACACTCAACAAATCTCTTCACAGCACAAACAAAGCATGAAAAAGGGAGGCAGCCCTCCGTCTGTGGACAAACCTGTATGTCAAAGGTGTACGACGTGTGGGCCCGCAGCTTGCTGATCTCAACCCTTGTTTCCTTTAACGCCTGTTTGCCTGGGACAAACACCACGCTGTCATCACATGGCTGACAAGCCCGACGCTCATTGCTGTGGCATCGGCGACACAACAAATTATATGACAAGTCGTCGCGGTGTCCAGTGTCACGTGGTGAGTGCCACTCCAACATCACCGATGTCTGGTTGACCACTGAGACCACATTGCGAGGAGCTGAAGGGACACCTGGAAAGAAAAATAACGAGTGAGAGGGAATGTCACCTGTTTACATGGAAGAATTTGTCTGTCTGTCTGTCTGTCTGTCTGTCTGTGTGTGTGTGTGTGTGTGTGTGTGTGTGTGTGTGTGTGTGTGTGTGTGTTGTGTTGTGTGTGTGTGTGTGTGTTACCATGTGTGTGTGCGTGTGTTTGAAACAGTTGATAACCATACTAAATAAATAACTGAAATTTGTTGTTTGTTGATATGGGATATTAGATTTAACATTATGTGTTTTCCTTAGTTTTACACAATATTGTCTATGATTTCAAAACTTGAACCAATAGTAAAGTTTGTGCCTTTTTAGGTAAAATAAGGAAATAAAAATGCAAGAGCCCTACCATTCTTAAAATTAGGGGTGGGCGATTTATCAAATATACTCAATGCATTGTGAGTTTTTCCATGGTTAAAATGGTTTTATCGTAACCACTGAGTATACGTTGCCATGGAAATATTAAGCTGTCTGCACATAATCCACTGTGAGTTTTTTTCTCCCACATGCTATGAATGCATAATTAATCCCACCCCCCCCCACCGGAAAATCTTCTACCCGCCACACTGCACCGAGCATGGGTGTTTATATACTACCAGTATGTATACAAACTATGAAACCAATTGTGAATAATATTTGGAAGCACCAAATAATGTTACCATTTGTCACGTACGTGATAGAATACCTCCCTGTTGTAAACTATAATTAGTGGATGGATATCAGATAAACAAATAAGATCGTAGAACAGGTACACTTTCACATTTTTCTGGTTCTTTATTGCACATGTAAACTTTGCAGTTTTGTTTTAAAGCTTTTGTTATGTGTAAAATGGTGAAAAACATCATAAGATAATTTACTAACCTAACAGCTGAGGTTTTTAAAAACATTGGGGTTGGTCTTGGAAATTAATTAATGATAAATATATCTCCCCATCCAGCTGGGGGGAACAGGTACTAATAACTAATTTAGCCAAGGCAACCAAAAAAGGCTAAATCCCATTTATCAGACATTGATCAGTGAAATAAAGAAAGTAGGAAAGAAAGAGAGCAGCATATGTTCACAATGATTACGGAAATAAAACTGGGGACTCAGATAGGGTCTGAATTTGGTTGTGTTCCAATTTAAAAAAAAAAAAATGCTGACATTTCTTTTCTTCTTGATGTCAAAAACAAGGCCAAGTGCGAAAACACCATTAATGTAAGACTAAAGAGCTGCAGACATGTTAAGCTTGAGCACCTTCAGCTGTTAATTGTGGTGAATTGAACTTAACATGTTTGAATCAGCTCTAAAATCAGTACTTTGGTTCATTTATAATATTATTACTGTGTTTAATGAACACATTTAATCAAATATAGTTCTGCACTGAAACGTTTTTCTTCTCTACAATATTTAAATTCAGAATCCCTTCACTTTTTAGGTCTCGTTAAATCAATCTCAGTTGTAAGCTTTATTCATCATCTAAATCTATTCAGAGCCTGGACTTGTGATGTTTTAAAGTAATGAAATGTAGAACTTTCTCAGGATGCCAGAATGGTTTTATCACAACGTTCACGTTTCAGTACTGAAAGCTGAACACACTTCTGTTTCTCTGAACTGCTTTACTTTTTATTCCACCAAGTTAGTTTTTAAAGCACTGTTATCATCCATTCTTATTGTTTATTATGTAAGGAATGAAGAGTTTGACGATGTTATATCACTTGTTGAAACCCATGACCTAAACTTCTAAAATGTGATGTTAGTCAGCCATCACCAAGACCTTTACAGATTCAAAGTCACCGACTTTGGGTCTCTCAGCTCCACAATGGTAAGTAGATGAAACATCTCTGATAGAGAAACTATCAGAGATGTACTGGATATTTGCACAGTCACACAAACCTCCAAAGTTTCTGAGGGGTTTCTCAGCAGTACGATAAATCATAGTTATCCAAACTGTCAATATCAATAGCAATTGTGACAATTACAATCACCTCCATCATGTCCCTGGAATTTATTCTGGGACTTCAGTTTGCAGAGGCCACAGATGGGTTGCACTGCTGCTACTCTGTGCTTACCCCAACAACAATGAATAATGATATAGTAAATACAATAACATGATTAAAGTCTGCTCCTCATTTAGTCTGAAGAACTTGACTCCCAATTTGCAGATGAGACTCACAGTGGAGACCCTGGACCAGCTGCCAGACAAAATTGCTAAACTGTGGGCCAGAGACTGCCCATTTCTTCCACAGAGAGTTCAATTCCACCAGCACTTCACCATTGCTCTGCTTAATTTCGATAGTCCTTAAACTTGTGTTTGAATTACACTTTTTTTTTTTAAGTTAACATCCTATTTTTTTGTATAAAAACTTAAAGGTATACACATTTACAAAGCACATGGTCTCTGTAGACCAAGCAGAACCACATCACACAAACTCAGAAATGCTTTGTTGGAATATGTAAACCACTGCACTACTAAGCCACTACTTTTAGTAGTTTCACTGATCACAAGGATTCGCTGCAGAGGGAAACATCGCTTATTTGATTTGTCAGATTTTGTATGCCAGATGCACTTCCTGTTGCAACTCCAAATGGATTTGTGCACCTTATCATGTAATAACCATAAAGAGGTGGTGATTCTTTCACCAGACAGAAATACCAAGGGACCTGAGGCAACACTAACTCAGAACCCTACAAGTCCCCATCTTTTAAGCACCTGTTAGCTAACTGTGCTTGGCTTATTGCTGAACACTGAGCACATCAGGAAATACTGCTTCATTTGCTCCACACTGTTTCACTGCTTCATTTGGGACATGCACAACACTAACAGGTGTAAGAACAACAGCCCATACTTGGCTTCCAGAGAGAACCTTCAGCCCTACACTCAATGCAGATATATATGCACACACAAATGTCTCACCCAATGGCGGCAACACTGATGCTAAAATAAAGAAGTCAAACTAAAATAAAGGAGTCAAAGACACCTGTGTCTCACAATATCTTGATGCCTACTTTCTCGCCACGCTTGTGAGAAATGCTTGGAAGACTCTTATTTACCGTTTATCACCCATAGGTGATAAACGGTAAATAAAAGTCCAGCTCACATTTTGAGACCTGAGATTTCATCTCACAATCCAAGATGTTCAACGTTTCAGCAGCTCGCCCCCGTACACACTTCCTCCTTCCCACAACTCTGAAGGCTAAAACTGTCAGTCTTCCAATGGCCTCGCCTTTGACAAAATTTACAAAACTTACCAGAATCACGCACAATCACTGCCACCAATTCCCATGAGTGCAGCAAGCGAGAGAAAAATGTAAATCATCAATATGGGATCCACCAATCCAACAACATTATACTTACTCAAACTTTCCTAAGAACACAGAATAATGTTACCAACTGAATAAGGATGAGCAATGATTGATTAAACTATTTATCCACATCAGTGATATCAAGTAATCCATGCATTTGTCATGCACTGACAAATGCATGACATGTGTTGTATGTGCAAACCCAAACCACAAAAAAATAACTCAAACAAAAAGATAAGAAGAAATGGAGATGGACACAGTTTCATAATCAGGTCTTTGTTTTGATCATTGAATAAATAATTATCATTGATCTGCTCAACAAATGGGTTCATGGGCTCTAATATTCATGTGAATAATCATCAAGGAAGTATTCTTAAACTCAGTGACAATTAAAATAAAAGTTAGGTGCCTTTCTTACCCATTCTGGGCATCTGATGTTCTCACATACTGCAACTGCAGTGCAGTCGAATACTTTATCTTAATTGGCATCCGCTTGTATAATACTGAGAGGGTTGTAGAAACTGTCAAGGCTGCTTGCTGACATGGAAAGTTGACAAGTGCAGTTCCCAGTCGGAAGTTTGCACTTCAGCCAACAGTGTCTACAATGTTCAAAAAGTGACCCAATAGCTCAGCGCCAGTAGGGAATCTGCATCTCTTTTCTCTCTTGCCGGTTCGCTCTCTTTTCTCTTAGCTCTTCTCTGTGATCTGAGGAACAGCTAAGGGCTTTTAGGGTACACAACCAGGGTTTTCACAAGGTTAAACCTACTGGGTGCACGTCTCTTTGATTGCTCGCACACATCACAGACACTGCAGTGCACACGCCAAACAAGAGCAGTTGAGATGAAATGGATATTCAACCTTGGCATATGGTAAATCACAGAGTCATTAGAAACAGCCGAGAAGGCCCTGTGGAATATGTGCATGTGCGCTTTTCTCAAAGAGACACTCAGAGGCAGAAATCAAAGTGCTAACAATCAGTAGGGGGGCTGAAAATCTAAGAAGCACCATCTTATAAACATTTCTACTGAGAGAGCAGGAAAGAGAAGACCCGTCTGGGCTTTGATTATTAGAGACAAACACAGTGTGTTGGCACAGGCGTTCACTCCATTTTACTTTTTTATCTAAATAGCACAAATACAAATTATTTTAAAGTGTCTGACACTCAGAGTTCACAGCAAGCACACATTCAAATGCAGAAAAGTAAGAAGCGAGGCGATAATCACATTATAAATTTTCCAGTTCCAGTTTTACTGTTGCAACAAGAGACAGTGTTCCAAAAGACTTAGAGACACAATCTGTGCTGCTGTTTACAGCCGCGTTCTTTTTCACAGTTTTGTAAATGGCTTACACAATATTGCTCTGACCTGTACACAAAAATACCACAAACAGAAAACCTCTACATATGCACACAGGGTAAAGACACACACACTCCTCCATACCTTTGCAGCCCATGAGGCGTGCTGAAGAAATGATTTTCTGTCAGGCAACTATCCACACAGCACACATTCACTCTTCCATCTCACTGGTCAGATTTTATATCTGATTGAGTTCATGCCAAATCCAAATAAACTGCAGCTCTTTCCTATATTAAACTTCCATCCCACTGTTTTTGAACTTTTTTCACTCCTTGTTCTCGTGGCTCTTGTGCTTGAAAGAAAACAAACAAACTTGTAACTCAGTTTGTTTTTGCCCTTGAATTGAAAGTACCCAGGTAATTCACAGAGCTGTGTAGGCTGACTAGGTTGACATCTGACACCTTTTCACATAAAAAGTCGACTTTTTTTCTCTTCTGTCTGCATCAGTTTGAGTTTGCTGCCACTGTTGTGATGGCTTTCATGTGGTTGCTCTGTTGTCAGAATAGGTTAACCACATCAGCCGCTCCATATTTATTGTGACAAAGTCATTTTTGAACATTTTCTCTGTCATTTTATTTCAGTAAACTTTCAATGCAATTACTACATCGACTTTAAAACACCCAACCTGTGTAACTAGTGTTAAATAAACAATGACTATTTGCTTTGCTGTGTACAACGTTCAGGCTAGGACTGGGCGATATATCGAGTTTTTAAATATATCGATATATTTTTATACGAGATATGAGATGTGATAATATCGTTTATATCGATATAGTCTACGTTACGTTATAATTATACTTGTGGAGCCAATAATTTGCCTCTCTTTCGTCCACTTTTGTCTCTACGCAAACGTTACTCTGCCTCGCCTCGCTCCTTCACTGAACACAACTCCCCCTCCGCCATCGCTTCACCTGCAGGCGACGACAAGATGGACACGGCTATCAAAGAGGAGCTGGTCGGTAAAAAGAAACCATTGGGAGATTACTATTGTAGTGCTGTCAGACTTAATCTCGTTAAAATGACGTTAACGCCATAACTGCATTAACGCAGCAAATCTCCGTTAACGAATTAGCGCGGATCGCCCCGTGCGTTGGACTGCACAGCGTCAATGCGTTAACGAGTTTTATTAACGCTGTATGTTAATAAAAGTGCCTGTGTGAGATCTGGGACACAGCTTTGACTAAGAGCTCTCTTTGTTCTTACTTTATGGCTTAAAAAAATATCGAGATATATATCGTATATCGCCCAGCCCTAGTTCAGGCATTACATTTTGAACACTGACATATGAAGTGAATAACACAGGTTATCTCTTCATCCTGGCACCTGTTTGTGGGTGGGGTATATTAAGGAGCAAGTAAACATTTTGTCCTCAAAGTCAATGTGTTAGAAGCTGGAAAAATTAGCAGGCATCAGCATTTGAGTGAGTTTGACAAACGGTGGCAAAATGATGGAGTCTAGGTGATGGTGTCACAGCATTTCCAAAAAGGTTTGTGTCTGGGGCTGCATAGGCACAGACCAGTCAAGGTGCCCATGCTGACCTTGTCCACCATCAAAGACACCAACAATGGGGGTGTGAGCATCAGACGTGGTCTGCTGAATCACATTTTCTTTCTGTTGTGGGTGTCTGTGGAGCTTACCTGGGGAACACGTGGAACTAGGATTCACTATGGGGAGGAGACAGTGTGATTTGGCCAATGTTTTCCTGGGAAACCTCGGGTTCTATCATCAGGAACCAGGAATGGTTTGAGGAGCACAACAATGAGTTTGAGGTGTTGACTGAACCCACAAGTGGTTTCAATTTCAAGGTTTTCAATGCAAGTAAATCAGGTAATCCTAAAAAAAAAAAAAACGTCATAGGGAAGTTGAACACTAAGAGTAGACAAATCAACAGCACAGAAAATTTAGCAGAAAATAAAGAACATACTGGTGTGGATGGAAACATAAGACAGATTGGATTAATACAGAAGGCAATGGTGTGGATGATCACAGAAGGATTTCCAGCATAAAGGAAGAAGCTGTAAAAAGAGCATCCTCCATGAGGTAGACATATAAATATCCAGGTCAGCAATGAAAACAAGATGCCATTAGAACAAACCGATAAACAGGGTTACAGGATACTAGGTATACATACCAATGTTCAGTCTCAAGGATAGAAAGAGCAGAGCAGCTCTCATTCAGCATTCTTAACGGCGTTTAGACAAAATGATCAACCTGTACCAGAAAAACCGGAAGAGCAGGCCTGGAACCCCTAACCCTGCTAATCTGAAGTTTACTGTATCCTCTGTGAATCAGCTGAGACAAGGGCGTTTGCCTGTTTTTATTACTCATAAAGAAGAGTAAAGAATTGCGACATGAAATCTTGAGTGTACTGAGCCACGCTGTCTGATCAGCCTGAAGCTGACTGGATTTTGCAGGACAACAACCACAAGCTTGGTTCACTACAGTTCAGGATGTTCAACAAATTTTCTCTTTGCTGTCTCAGGACTTACCGTGGAACTCAGACTTGACAGTCTGACCCCGGTCAATGAATTCAGAGTATGTAAATCTGTGAACATCAAAACCATTAGAAAAAGAAAGGGGGAAAAAAGAAAGTATGGTGGTTGCACTCCTGACCTAATGTGATATGTGGAGGTTAGGATGAGGTGTGGATACTGTGGGTCCATTCACTGAAAAGCTATTGAGTGCCTGACTGGGATCCACAAACCGAGCTTTCATCAGCAAATTGATGTTTGCTGTCTGTGTAAGATCCATGGTGGTGAAACCACAAAATAGTCTGAGTGATCGTCGTGGGACTTTTTGTATAAATGACAACTGTGCTGGGAGAATCCCAGAGGTGAGCAAAGAGACAGCCATTATTATACAGCTGTTTATTTTCAGTCCAGAAAACCCGCTCTTAGCACTTTGTAAGAGGGTCTTACTAATTGCCGACCTTATGCACCGCCACTCATTAAAAAAGAAAAGATTGACTCATACCTGGCAAACATTTATTCTTCCACACATGAAGTTATAAGACTGATGGTTTTTTGTATTGCTTGCCTGCTGTTATGCCGCTAACATATGAGGCTTAGTTGCAGACTCAACTAAAGCTTGTGTTCAGCATTTTTTTAGTGAACTCTACTGACTGCAGAGGATTAAAAAAAAGGTCAAGAAATTCTGTCAGTCACAAGAATTTAACACTGTTGATGCAGGACGGCGACTGAAAAGATGTCCAGTTTCTGAGTTTGATTTGATTAGTGTAAACCAGAGCAAAGCGCCAATTCCTCAAATATATGAAATGACGAACATACAAAAGGAATGCAGATGTGACAGCCAGTGCATAAGAAAATAACGCAAAATGTGGGGCCGATCAGCAATATTCACCGTCAACATTTGTTCTGCTTTTCTGACGCAGCATTGCAAATTCATTCACGACTCTGTGACAGCAAAATATGGCCAGACTATGAATGAACCAGTGCTTTTTAACCCCCCGCCCCAAAACATAAAGCTGTATTCAGGTCACCTGGACATGTACAAGCACACAGGTACACACTCACACACACACAGACTAACTGCATGCACTCCAAAATGATTCATGTCTCAACCTACTTACACCATCTCTCTGAGGAATTGAGAGCTCCATTTTTCAAACTCTCTGTGCCTCATCTTGCATAGCAATATAGCCTCTTCAACACACTAAACACATATTCACTTCAATGGAAAGCCCGAGGAATGTGGCAGCATTATTACTTACCGCTCCCCAAATCCCCTAATGAGGACAGGGATGCTACAGCGCTCTGAACGAGGCACAGAGAATTAGGGGCGCAATGATAAATCAAAGCAGATGTTGGCCTTTAACTTAATGATGAAATATTGGACTGTCGATGGTGTCAACCACTGATACGCTCGAGTATGTCAGCTATTGGTTGCTTCATCCAAAATCCTGCCTTTCGCAAACATGTGTTGGTCATCTTGAAGCTCGTATTGAAAGATTTATCTATTGTGTCTGATGGGGAGAAAAAAAGGCTGACTCACTGGTACACAGGTCCTCCGGTTTGTCCATGTCTCCTCGGTAATAGCCATTCCGACAACCACAGAGGGTGGCAGCTTCGATAGTGGAGCGGCTATTGGGCGGACATTGCTGACACAGTCCTGGCCCCTGGAATGACTTAAAGGTGCCCTGAGGACAAGCTGCGGGGAAAACACATAAAAACCAACGTGTGACTCAGAGTAAAGAACAACAAACTCTAAGTTGGTTTGCATCGCGCTTCTGTGCATTTTTGTTTGCCTTGATCGTGACACATTTGGTAAACTTTGTATTAGAAAGCAGGCGTGCCAGCAGAGTTATTATTGGTACTATGAGGTTGACACAGCACAGAAGGGGATTTTCTGGGGATAGCTGCAAAATAGTTTGTTCTGACAAGATACACAAAAACATTTTGTGCACAGTGACACAGAATCATGTTGTGCTGATTAACTGAAAACTGGATTATCGTTTTCTTCTCTAGCTCTTTTTAATATGGGTCAGACATGACATGAAACACGTAGTGTGGGAATTTTTAAGGATGATACCCTACTTTATCCAATTTTTATGTATCCAGAGTTGGCTCTTGCTGACCAGATAATAATTATTCTTATTCAGCTTGGATACGTGCTGTGGAAATTTTGCAGTCCACCTTGGCAACGCGCTCTCATCTCAAGGTTTCAAATACTGCTGGAGGCAGCATAGAGATACGGACACGGGACTTCAGAGTCAGTGCCAGTTTAATATTGGCTGCAGAGTTAGTGGCCTTGTTTAACAGAACTAGAAAGTATGCATGAGGAAGCAAGAAGGCTTAAAAGTATCTGGGGGCCGAGGGGTTGTTGGTTTTTTAGCTACTGTTTGGAATTATGTTTTCTTACTTTTACTCTTACCAGGATTCTGGTAGCAAATAACAAAGAATCTTGTTGGTGCAAAAATACAGTTTTATCTCAGTGAAACTATTCGCTTTTTTGCATTTTTCATAGCTTGAATAAAGAAAATGAGAAAAATTGTGTGTTTTTGTGACAGAATACTAGTAACAAAGATACTGAAGATACAATTTAAAATAATTTCTTTGGTTCTTTTCTGTTAATAGTTGGTCGCTTTATATTCAAATGATTCATAGGTTAATGTTACGTGTCCAAACCAACTAACAAACAAACAAACGAAAAGCATTCTTCTGAAAATAGCCAAATACAAGGACTGGACTGAAGATGAAAGAAAAAGCAGCCAATGCATAAAAAGAAATTCCACTGCAGTTACAAACTTTTGTGACCATTAAGTCCCGTACGTGTGGTGTACACTGAACGTGACACTTGAAACAAAACCGTGAACATGGTGAACATAACGGCATTTTTTGGTGGGTGAATACGAAAAGCAAAAGAATTGTGGTTAATAATAAATCTGTTCTGGGGTTTTTTTTCTTTCTTTTTTTACATATAGATATTAACAATCGCTGGATGTGTGCTGCTGTTTGTGCAAAGTATCTGATGTGACACGGCAGGTAAAGCTGGACCAACTTAATACTTACACAGCGCCATTTGCATTTCCCAAGTGTTAATACACACATCTGACACAACTTAACATGGTTCAGTTCAGCAGGAAGGCTTAAAACACTGCCGTCCTACATGTCTTTATGCATGCTCAATCAAGCCACACAAACTCACGGTGGATAAATGACCAAACAGCACCTTTCTGATGTCATAGATGCATGCACCCCCCCCCCTCCCTTTTTTTTTTAACCAATGCATTTTTAATTATTGACATGCATTTTTAATTTCAACAAAGCTCAACAACAGCCTGAACATGATCAGAAGCATTGCTGCACAATCACATCACTGGCTCTCTGAAGCAAATGCACACGTTTATGAATTTAAATTCATAAATACGTATTTAAAAAAATACGTAAAGAAAAGAAAATATGAAAAAGCCATGAGAACTGAACTTGCAGTCGGAAGATAAAGTAGCATGTTAATATGTTAGCATGTAACATTGCATCCCATACGGAAAAGAAATAGTAAAAACTTATATGTGATTACTCATGAAAGTGGCCACTTTCGCATTACTTTCATACATTGTTTTAGTAAGTATCCAAAACATACAAGTTTCATTATATAATTTTTCAAGGGATCTTATATCTGTTTTCACACTTTTCATGCTTTTCATACAAGTTTCACACAAGACAGATACAAACTTTATAAGATTTATATATATCTTTTCCATATGGGATGTTATGTCAGAGTACTCTGTCCTAGAAGGATTACTGTTCTTAATTTGCACGTGAGATGTCACAGGTGTCTCTTTGTGAATGCAAATGCCTTCTGAAGTATGACTTTAAGTAAAAGCCGAAACAGAGAGGTGTGAAATGAAGAATAAGACTGAAATGAAAACTCTGCCAAAAGGCTTAGGCAAACCAAATGAATTTTTTTTAGTCTTCCTTTCTCTTTTTTTAGTCTTGATTTATCTTTAGCATTTTGTTTTCCTTCTTTCTCTGTAATGAATGTTTACTTTATCCCTGAGCTGCTTTAGGCGCTGTAAGACTAAAATGCAAATGTTTCATAGATTTATGGTGGAAGACAGAGGAGTGTGCAAGGAGGCATTTAGTAAAGTCCAAATGATAAAATGAACCGAGTGACAGAAGTAAGTGAGACAAAGTAGAAAGCAAGTGAAAATCCTTAGGGTTTCACTTCATCAAATGTCAGTAGGTGAAAGGGTCAGGAATGAAAAGGAATGTCTGAAGAGACAAAAATAAAAAAGCATTGGGGAAAAAGTGGAACAAAGGGGAAAAATGTAGATTGGGAGTATAAGGTGAAGAGAAACACACTGATCCTGTTTTTATTCTTTCATTTCAATGCGTCTACAGTACTGCTCTACTGAATTGCTGCCACAGACGTGTTATATTATTGTTTCTTGGTTTTGCTTTTGCTCTAACATGATTTACAATAAAGGAAAGTGTTTTTGTCTCCCTAATTTACTATAAATTACTTTCTACATGAGCAACATACCGTTGTGAAACTACAGAAGGAATACTTCATATCATGTTATAAAGGCCATAGCTGGTCCAAGTGTATATAAGAGATGGATGCAGTTTACATCTAGAACTTACAGAGGCATTAGATAGCAGAAATGCTATCTAATGCTATCATTATTAATATGAAATCCATTGTGTTTGTTATTTGTAACAAGCAAAGAAAAATGACACTTGATTGAATCTTTCTATTATTGCTGCCAACAGCTTTCCAACATTTAAATTTTATGGCAGAGATTTAGAGAAATGGAAGTATGTCACCAACTAGGGCTGAGCGATATGACCAAAATCTCATATAAGAATTCTATCATAACGATATAAATCACAAAAATGTAACATTTTCTGTAAATTCTGTGATTCTCGGGCAGCTTGTCTTGCGGGAAGTGTTTCCAGCTGCGTGTCATGTAGCTGGAGTCGAGTGTTTTAACTGATGCATGAAACTATACATTTTTAGACATAAGTTGTAAAGGCTGCCATTTTTTTTGTGAGTATTTATTACAGCCTGTTCTAACGTTTGAGTCTAAGGTTTATTTTTTAGCACCTGGCGGCTCTTTTTTAATTCTCATCCATAAATAATCTGCTCTTTCACGTGATTTTAGTAAACACATTTTAGTAAACAGTGCAAACAAACTAAAATACTAAGGCCAATACCAGGGAGGCTAACAAGCACTTAGCAGGATCTAAAAGTACTCCTTGACTTTAATCTGTACTGCTTGCTAGCCACTAACCAATAATCAGTATACATTACTTAGTGTTGTTATGCTATCTGGGATATGTAATCGTAAGGGTTATTCAAGGTATTACACGGAAGAATTTTATAGTTTTTTTTATTATAATGCATCCTTATCATGTCTAAGTAGGGCAAGAAAATGTGATCGCATATTAAGATAGTATAAACTGATTAAAACAGGAATGGTAAGGTTCTTAATTTTATGTTGGTCAAAACATTTAGGTTTTGACCAACATTTCTCATAATCAAAGCAGTCGTTAGCTATGTCCATAATCATGACAAGCTAAATGGTTGTCAGATCACATACCATAATCAAAACAGGCATGCAAAGGATGTTCTTTATTAGTAACCTTATTTACCACCGTTTCCCTCGGTTAAGCTGCAGTTTAGTCAGCGGATCATTGAAGTTTGTTGACCACCCTCAGCAAGAATGAAATACTTGTAGGAATGTAGCAAGCGTAATTAATCCTTGTAGTATCAGATGGCAAAGTGCATATAGCTGCCCTATACTGCCTTACACAAAGCTGGAAAGAAAAGCTGGCCTTCATAGTAAGTGCATGACTCTACTAATGTAGATAATGGAACGGACTATTGGACAGTCTTTTCTGGGAGACTATCATAGTTCTCGTATAAAGAAAAGAAAGTCTGAAAGAACTTCTGATCCTGCTTACTTTCTCACCTGTAAAAACATTATACATCTCCCGCATTCAGTTTCTAATAATGATGTCTGCCTCGATTGTCTGTTTTCTTTACACCCAGACATTTGCCTTTCTTTAAAGCCATCTCATCAGGAGTGTCAGCGTCTCTTCATGTGTGTGTGTGTGTGTGTGTTGTTCTGAGTTGAATAAGCAGATAGACATCTGGCTTGTCAAGGTCATTTATTCAGAAACCTTGCTCATACACATGGGGCGTGTCACCATGGCAACAAGTCTTGCTACCTCTCTCCATTACTTATCTCTGGATACCCCTGTGTAGAGTTATCCTTTTCTGTCTCTCTCTCTGTCAAAGGATTTTAAACTGGTAACCCGGCATATGTCAGTGAATTCTGTTTGTGTGTTTTTGTGCAGGCTGAAAAGAACAAAATACTGACTCAAGTAGGATAAACAACAATCCATTATTCTGTCATTTCTGTTGTTTCTATTGTAGTCAACAGCATCCAACTCACATTTCAAGTAGTATGATAAAGTTGGTGATGGCTGCTGCATGTCTCACAGGCAAAGGTCAGTATGCTATACAAATCTTTTGTGGACATATATGTGGAAATATATCGGATGGTAAACTTATTATACTCTATCATTTATTTCAGGCTGTGACAAAATACACTGTTTACAGCACTATTTTCCCATCGCATTGGATAACGTTTGCAATAGAGTATATCAACATTTCCTGTGAAGTTGAGACAAAACCGGGCA